GGAAAGACCCAAACAAACATAGAGTAGGCATCTACACAGGTGAGGAAATAGGTATAACCACTAGAAGACGTCATGGGAGAAGGTCCCCAAAGATCACAGACAACCAACTCAAAAAGGATGAGTATAAACTGTGGTGGATAATGAGGAAGGTAACCTGTGAGATTTGCCAATACAGCAAGCTTGACACATTTCTGTAGGAGGCTTAGCAGGAATGGAAAGATGACACAGTTTGAAAACCTCAACAAGAGCATGGTGATTGGGATGGCTTAGTCTAGTATGCCAAAGAACATACTTATTATTGGCTATAGAATTTGGGCTATTAGAGTGTGAAGAAGACAAAGTAGTACTAGCAGTAGCAGAATTTAGAAAAGAATTAGATGAAATACTAGTATTATTAATATTGAAAGAGTCATTACAATGTGGCATAAGATTTGACATACAGTGTGATACACAAGTAGAATTGTTACAATTGCTTGTGGCTGTGTTACAGTGTGAATTAATAGAGCTATTACTAGATGAACTATAGCTAGGACTAAGCATATGAAGACTGGGCTTGAACTTGGACTGTTGAGAAGCAGCTGGATTGGGAAACTTGTAGAGACCATCAGCTCCAACAAGACCATGAAGTAACACTTCAGAAGAAGCCTGGGATTTGACAACACAGAACTTAGGGTGAAATTCAAAAAACACATTATTATCCTGAGCAAACTTGCTCACACTCATTAGGTTTTTGGTAATGTGAGGGACAAGTAAGAGATTGCTAAGTGTAAGGGATAGGTTAGGTTTGTGTGGTGGAGAAAAAGACATAGAACCAATAGAATTTATAGACAAACCTTAGCCATTTCTCATGAACACTTGTTCAGTACCAGGCAAAAAAGCAGAATCAGACACATTAGAGGCATCAGGAGTAACATGATGAGAAGCTCCTGAGTCTGGATACCACCACTGATTGTTGAAGCTAGCTTCAGTACCTACAAAGATAGCTTGTGGTGCAGTGGATCTGGGAGTAACAGCTCTAGGAGAGGGATAAGCAAACTGCACAAGATACACAACACGAGGAGCTACAAGAAAAGGATTGAAAGAGGCTCTCTGCTGTGGATAACCAGCACCACTTGAATTGGAATAACGATAGTAGCAGACTGAAGCATCATGTCCAGACTTGTGACAAATCTGACACGACGTTTTGCCAAAACATCCTCCACCGTGACCAAAACGACCGCCTCCACGGCCAGAACGACCTCCTCTTGAACCATAAGAACGATTCTCAGCATTAACGGTCACGTGACTCGTTCCTTGAGGAAAGGTCACGTCAGAAACAGACTGATCAGTGGCGACCGGCGCAGACGGTGGTGCTGCTTGAGTGAGATTTACCGTCGCTGGCTCCGTAACCACTGCTTTCCGGTGTTTCTCCAGACGCGACTCATGAGCTAGAAGAGATGACTCCAATTCATCTAGCGAATTCAATTCCTCTTTACTGTTAACGGCGGCGACAATGGAGTCATACTCCTCAGGAAGCGAATCAAGTACGATTTCAATTAGGTTACGATGAGGAACAGGATCCACAATCGAAACGAGAGATTCACTAATTTCACGTGTGCGAACCATGAGCTCCTCAATTGTCATCGTGCCTTTCTGAAGACGACGAAGCTCTGAGCGTAGTTGGCGCGCTTTCGTGGAGAGAAGAGTGTTGAAATAACGGTGAACCTCCGCCCAAACTTGCCACGCGTGTTTACACTCAACAAGCTTTGGAAGCAGAGGATCGGAGATGGTGGAGAGAAGCCAGGTGCAAATCAGAGCATCCTGTTGCTCCCATTCAAGAAACGCACTGTGAGATGCAGGATCTGAAGGAGACGGCGGCGGAATGACCGGAACAGTAACAAACCGTTGAAGACGATGACCGCGAACGACGCCGTCAATCTGTTGCTTCCATTGTTTGAAATTTTTGTCATCTAGTTTTACAGAGATAAGGTGAGAAAGCTTCACCTGAGAAGACAAAAATAGAGGCTCCATGGATCGAGAAAAAGGAGAAAAAAATTGCTCAAGATACCATGATAGAATCCGATAGAATTGAGAGAATAGAAAGAATGATGTAAACTCTCATTATATCAAAATCAAATTATAATACAAGAGAGTGCAATCTATACATAATGAGAGAGAGTAGTAACAAACTAACTAAGTTTGTTATAACAACTTTACAGCTCAGCAAACCTAGCTTAAGAGAAACTTAGAATAATAGAAATATATTGACAGAATATAAATTGCTACTCTATTACTCATCATAAAAGTAACAACTATGACATAACTAATTAATTCATAGTTTGTTCTTTTAGCTATTTATAACTTTCAAAGTTGAGAAAATGTAAACAATGGAAGCATGAATCATCATTCAATTTGTATGCAAAGGAAAATAGTACATTACAATTCTTATTTGGGTTTGTCTGTGTGTAATGACGTTGAAAGCTCCACATGGTTGATCAACTAGTTGTTTAGCTAGCCGACCAATTTGTGTTTCTAGATTTTCAATAGAAGCATCATATTCTTTTGGTTTGACAATCAGAATTTTCATGAAGTGGTTTGATGAGTCCTTCAATTTTGATAGATTATCTTGTCGAGGAGGAACTGGACTATAGTTCCAATACGATTATCTGTTGGATAGACATGCTTCTGATATCCACCTTTGGATGTAATTATTTTCCTGATGAAAGTTGTTATTTTAGTATTATCTTGGCCTATATTGAAAGTAATTAGTGTGCTCATCATTAATTAAAATAAATACACAAAGCACGAGTTAAAAATCCTAAATAAGCATAAGTTAACTAAGTATTCAAGTATTAATGGATTAAATATCTCATAATGAGTTATTGAATCCTCAAATTTGACTAATTACTTATCTACGGGTGAAAAGCTTAGTCACCTCCCTAACAAACCGAGTCACACTTCTAGTAGAATAAGTACAAATTGGTTGACAATTCACTTTCTACCCATTTTTTCCACTTTGGCATCACATAGTCCTTGAGGTATCTAGTCTTGATTGCATTTCTTTTGGCCGAGGGACCCTTTCTATCATAGTTCTTTTTAGGGATGGACAAATTTGAACCGACCGATTGAAACCGATCGACCCATTGTCTTTTTTGTGCAAATGGGTTGGGTTGGGTCGGGTCGAGTGTCGGATTGATTCAATTGTTTAATTTGGATAGTATAAGATTACTTCGGTCGGGCTCGAATGCTTATTTTGGATCCGACAAATATCGAAATCGACCGAAATTTAATATATATTTTATTTTTATTTTTATTATAATATGACTGACTCACTATATAAAAATGAGATTTATGATTTTGCAGAATATTATCATTTTTACAATTTAATGATAACATTGTGTACTCTTAAAAATATAAAATATTCAATATACATTTTTGAGTATTTTCATAAATATACTGATATTCTGAACACTTCAATTTTATAACATTTATGGACATTATCATGTATACATTTGTCATTTTATGTTATTAACCTAGATACTGTGATTTTGTATGTAGTTTCATTCTTTTATTTTTAATCTTAGTTGTGTTTACCAGACCACTCATTTTAAAATATAAAATGAGTAACATGAAAGCATTAATAAACAAATGAATATCCACATTGTAGTCTTCTCTAAATCAAATAACATATAACAACTAGGAAGTGGTCAATTTACATTCTTTATTCCTACTAATAGTCTTCCACAATTCACACAAACAAAATTATCGACATTGCATATGCAACATTCTACTGGATTGTCTAGTAAAACAAAGAATCAAAATAAAGCATGATGCTTCACAAGACTAATAAAGAGTAAAAGAAAAAACACTAGCTGACGCAACAGTGCTGCCACCACACAAAAGCTAACTCAAAAAATGCAAAAAAATGAAATATCAAAGGACAAAGTTGGATTGGTTGAGAATCAGATATTGATAAAAGAAATTAAATGTGATATTGTGTGAACCATATTGCCATATGCTTACGTGAATCTGCCAATGAAGCATGTGATTCTAACTAAGTGGAATGCAAACTCAGATTCTACTAAAAAAGTGATTCTGATTTTGAAAAAACAAACAAACAAACATGGTCAACTTGTCCATATTGCACTCACAAAGAAAACAAATGATTAATAACATTTTCATTTGACATAGAAAAAACCTTACTGTAACTTATGCTTCTCACAATTTTCAGTAGAAGTGCTTATATGAGTCAGCCACATGAGTAAATGACCTGGTTGCTTAACATATGGAAGTGCTTATATTTTCATTTTTTTCAATTTTGGAATATCTAATAAGCCTATTTTAAATTTGATATAATAAACCAGCAAATTTGAGGGTTGTTTTGATTATTAAAGGCCAAATTTTATGTAATAAAGTTATTACAATATCACTAAATTTTTTTGTTGTACTTTATAAATAATCGAATTTTGATGATTGAATAAAGATCAGACAATTCAAATTTAAAATATACTTCTTCCTTCACATATTATAAACAAATTTCACATTTTTAAATTTATTAAATAATTAATATATTTAATTTATATATTAATCATATAAATTAATTATTTAATTAAATTAAAAATGTAAAATTTGTTTATAATATAACGAATGATATAACATATAAAACATAAAAACATGAGTTATCTCATCTTTTATTTAACAACTGTGATTCATGTGATTATGATCAAAGAAAATTCAAATTTAAATAGCGGCTTTTTATTATAAGCAAATTACGTGTTTAATGTGTTAATGATAGAGTTTAATTATTAGTGATGTTTGAGACTTAGTATGCTTCAATGGACAATATATGATACAAATTGGTCCTTCAAAAGATAGACATAATCACTATCATATAGACATAATCACAATTATAGTTCAAAAAACATCAAAAGAAGTCCATTCCAAATTGATATTTAAAGATTGAAACATTATTGGAGTCTGCTTTTAAGGTTGATGAAGCAAGTAGGTTCATGTGATCAACATTAAAGTGCATGAATACCAAAAACAGCTCCTTTGTTGAAGTCTCTAGAAGCATAAGATTTATGAAAGGAGCAGTCATAGAGATCTTGCCCTTGAAGTGATCCATCATTGTAGTGATTATTACTATTCCAGCACATTTTCTGCTTGTTCTTATCTGATGCAGAAGAAGTTTCTGTGAGGCTTAGAGTTGTTATATCATGAATGCTTGGTCTTCTTTTATCTTTCCCGCCCGAAGATACCTTTTGCCTTATGTAGTACTTTTGTGCATGACTTGCTACTTGCGTCGGAGTCTTCGTCACAACGAAGTTTCGAGAGATGTTTCTCCAGTCGCCTTTCCCGTACTTTACAAGTCCCATCAGAAAACGTCTGTAGTTTATAGAGTCGAAATCCAACAAATCAATTACTAGTACTAAGTTATAATAGCGTCAGAAAATGCAAAATCCGTCTCTAATTCTGTCGCTATTTCTCCTCTAGAATCTAAAAAAGAGAAAAACAAAGAAACAACTAGAGATTCAAGATTCAAGATTGATGAAACTCACCTGTGTTCTTCTTCGGTCCAAGGAACACCTTTCTTCCTCTCATGATCAGAACCTCTCACACTTCCATGTCTTCTTCTATTTCCATCATAGTTCTGATTTTCAACAACTTCAAAGGTGAAAGAAGAAGCAAGATAACCCGGAATCGGAACATTACCAGCTTCGATTTCGCTCACATCTTCTTCCAATTCCCTATACTGTTTAATCACATCAAAAACAGTCTTACCAGGAATCATCTCAGCAATCTTCAACCATCTATCTGGTGTATCCTTATCATATATGGCAAGAGCACTTTCAAACTTCTTGTTATCTTCTCTACTCCATTCTGTGTTATGACTCTCTTCAACAAACCAATTTGGATCCATCACAAAATAAGGAGAATAAAGCGTTTCAAAATCCATAACTTCAATCACAAAAACTACTAGTTCAAAAAAAGAAGAAATTATACAAGTTTGATAGAACTACTAAGAATCTCTTACTTGTGATGATTAAGATAAAGATGAGAATCTATCAAAATCATACCTTTTAGAATCATATAGAATCTTAATCAAAACCATGGTGTGTTAAAATTTTAATGTGTGAGTGTGATGATAATGAAGTGAGACTAAAAAAAGTTGAGAATCATAAATATAACAACATAGAAAAAAAAGAAGAGGGTGAAGAAAGCTAAGAAGATCCAATAGAGAGAAAAGAGAGATTCTTTTCAATCAAAGAAAGGAAAAAGATTGATATAACTATTTTCACTTTGTCGTTACTTCATGAGGAAGGAATTATTGCATTACAAACATATATATATATATATATATATATATATATATATATATATATATATATATATATATATATATATATATATATATATATATATATATATATATATATATATATATATATATATATATATGTATTGATATACAAAATTTAGTATTGAATTTGAGAGAGTAGAAGTAGAAGGAGAAGGATTTGATTTTGATGATAATAAGGTTGAGATTAGAGTGTGACACTAGGTTGTAACTATAAGGCTAAAACTAACGACAAAGTTTTGTCCTTAATTAATTATAGTATTAAGAAGAGTTTAAATAAGGATATGGAACAAAAAATATAGTAAAAATATACACACAACTTTTTTGAGGTAAAGTAGGAGTTTATTATATTCACATTCTCATCTTAAGGTGTGATGGTTATGTCGTGCAAGTATCTAATTAACCTTAATTTGGTGGGTTGTCTTGTTATTCTCCTTGTTTTAGAAAATTAAATAGAAGTATAAATATCCAAAATAAAAAAGAAAAGATTAATAATACAAAAAAAAAGGTTATATCTAATGAGACACTTAGTCTCAAGTGATAAACGAGTTTCTATTAAAAAACAGAAGTTTGAAAAATACTGAATTTAATTTCGAAAGAGAATAATGTTTGGCTAGACTTATGATCTCTCAAATATTAATATTATAAAATTTATTTTGTTCCCCTCAAATATCCTTTTACTCCAATTGAATATTTTGTTGACAAAAGAAAAAGAATTCATAGAAATATCATGGGTTGGATCAGCAGAGCTAAGAGCACTCATATAAGTGAGTTGGAAGCTACATTTTTACTTAAAAATTTAAAATTTTTAAGGTATTAGACATAGGAGTATTTCTATTTATAATGTGTTCAACTTCAATTTTTCATTCAAGTTGAAAATTTATTCACATATGACACATTACTACACCACTCGCCAATATACTTCTAAAGTTTCAACTTCACGAGGTATAGACATGTGATTTTGTTCTTTGAGAGATGTGTTTCATTGGTGGACGACACATGATGTATTTGGGTAGATAGTCTTTGACTCATTCTATTACATAACTTTTATAGATTCTTGGATGTTTTAATAGTTAATAGATCTAAAAAGAAAAACTTTGAAGTCTGAAATTTTTTTAAGATTATTATTTTCTAAAATAAGATATGATAATTGAAGTTGTACATTTACCCTCTCTAAAATTGTAGATCAAGTATGAAATAAAATTATAACTATGGTGTGATTTTTGGTTTAACACGTGTTCAGATGTCATCTCTAAGAATTTTTTAAAAAGTTGTCGTGATCAAAATTATTTGATAGTTGTCACTAGAGATGTCTCTTTCTTTGATCAAATGTCATCATCAACCATTTAAAAAGTTGTCATCATCAAAACTACATCTTGTACCCCATTTTGAGATCCTCAAATATTGAGACCATAACTTACACCTCTTAACATCATTTTTAGGCTCTATGATCCTCACACATGAAGCACACTCTCAAGTAAACACCATGAGTAGAAAATATAAATGAAAAACACAAGGGAAATAAAGTGATACTTGGTGTCGTGAGCGATTTGAGGGGATGTATTCTGGACCGACCAAAAGTTCAATTGACCCAGGTCTAATCCATCTCAAATACATTCTACTCGACTTAAAGTATAAAAACAGTTCACATGCTAATAGCAAGGTACAATCTCTGATATTCATTTTTATTATACTCATCTTGAATCTTGAACTGACTTGGATATTAGAGTGCTAAACATGCATGTCCATCTCGCACCACCGTAAAGGAGATCTGAGCCGCCATTTAATATCATTAGTTATTCATCTGTCATCATGTATGGTTCCTTCATGGAGATAGAGTCTTCATTTCTAGTTCCCGAACGAAACATCATGTAAGACAAGAAAATAAGGGAATGGTAGGAGTTTGCTAAAAATGTACAATATGAAGTGAATATATGAAGTAAATGAAGAGTCATGAGATTATTTAAAGGGTTTGAGTGGAAAACAAAAGGACAGTTATATTTAAAGTTATTCTCCTATGGCTGTAGGAAGTAGGGATAGGCCATGAAGTTGCTACTATTCACAAGACATTTGGAAATCATTACAACTACTGGAAATAGGTTATAGCTAGTAAAAGTGGGACTACTGGAAATAGGTTATAGCTAGTAAAAGTGGGACAATCAGAAAGGGGGTTAGACAACCAATAGACATTAGTCGGTTACGGTCAAAGGCCACCACTAGAACAACTTCACCCAAGAGGGATTATTTATTAAGGCGCAAAGCAAAACCCTTAGCCATTCTCAAAAAATCATATCGCTCCTACATGTCTCATACTTAGAGGACTTTATAACAATGTAAAGACTCAGGAAATCATTTTTCCCCTACACAACTCGTGCTTGGGAGACCGTTTAAATGCCCGACATTTCGTTAGGACTCAGGAACATATTTTAAAGGGAAATTTGAACTATGTATGATTAGATTAAAGACATGTGTTCCATTTAGAAATAAAAAATATTCTCTATAATTTGCATGTCTCCCTTGCATTAATTACTATAAATTTTCACATATGCAAATACTAAGAGTGCCCCCTATATCAAAAATTTGATTTTTAATTGTTACATGTTCAAGATTAACAAATTTCTCTTCTATAAGTTCCCTGATAAAGTAATGACGAATATCAATGTATTTTGTCCTACTGTATTGCACAATATTCTTCAAAATATTAATGGAACTTAAGTTGGCAGAGTATAATGTCATGACATATTGTTCGATATTGTACTACTTCAACATTTATTTCATCCATAACAATTGACTGCATCTGCTTCTTGTAGCAATGTACTCAACCTTCTTCGATAGATAAAGAAACACGATTATGCTTCTTGTTGAACCATGAGATTAAATTTTATCCAAGAAAGAAACATCTACCATATGTGATTTTTCTATCATCATCACTCCCAGTCTAATCACATCACAATACCCTACAAGTATTGAGTTAGTATCATGAGAATAGAGAATATCATAATCACAAGTCCCATTTATGTACTTCGTGACTCTCTTCGTGACTCTCATCATGAGAATAGAGAATATCATAATGATGGCATGTGTATTACATGCTCGTGTAATGAGATTGACTTTGTTTAATTTTTTTCTTCAATTAATACACTAAAAAAACACAAATTAATAGATAATAAGATCAAAATTATTATTAAGAAATATAATTAAGATAGTTGTTATTTTAAAATTGGTTCAACAAAGGTAATAATCACATTTGATATGTGTTAGAAGTAAATATGGGTATTTCTTTAAGCAGAAATTCAAATTTTAATTCACCAAATTACATGAATCTAATCCCTTCTACTAGACTCAGATTTGTTAGTTATACAATTTAAGTTTTATTTTAGCAAAACTACATCAAGACAATCAACTTAATTTTGAATAAATTATGTTTTTGTATGTTAATTTAGTTATTTATCTTCAGTAATATTTATATATATATTTTTGGATATAATTAGTAATATTGTTGGTAATATTTATATTGTTGAAGTAACTATCACTCTTATTCCAATTATGCTATAAATGTGTATACATAATCCTTGAATGAAAAAAATAATACTAAAAGTAGTATTTTACAACTCGGAAGCATAATTAAGCCATTGTTGATGATAATAAGCTCACAATCTTATATAAGTATTAATTGTGATGGATTATATATTGTTAATAGTGATTATGATATAATTTAGATGATTGAACAATCTAATATACTTGTTTGATTGTTAAATAAGACTTTTTGTAATAATATGCGTAAGACTTTTGCAGATCATTATGTGAATGAAAATATGAAAGCTAGTGAATAATATGGAGATTCAATGGTTGAAGAGAATCATGTTTTGATTTGTCTTATAATAATTACCCAACGAAAGATAGGCATACAAGCAAGCGCCTGTAGCTCAGTGGATAGAGCGTCTGTTTCCTAAGCAGAAGGTCGTAGGTTCGACCCCTACCTGGCGCGTTAGTTATTTTTTCATATTTTCCTTTTCCCTCAAAGTTACCATTAAATGAACGCAACCACAAACATTACACTAACTGAAAAATCAAACTCATTAAATTTCCTTCAACATAAAAATCACATATCTTATCCTAAACTTGAAATTACAAACAAGAAAAATGAATTGCTTTGTGCAACAATTTCTTTTTATTTGTTTCTTCTACAAATACAAATCAAACAATTTGATATCTCCCCATCATACTCTGAAATCACTTCTCTAGTGCACTCTACATGCATATCATTTTCTCTGCATCAGAAACTCTAGCACTTTGGAAGATCTTTTGGTGGTGGAAATACAGACTCATTGGGACTTCTCCCATTGTCTACTATAAATGCCATCTTAAGTCCCCATGTTGTGTGTACTTCTAAATGGCAATGCAGAAACCAAACACCTTCACAGTTCACACACAACACAACGTTAAAAAAAAACTAAAATTTGATAGTTAGAAAGAAAGAAAAAATAGTGATTATGTTTGTATATCAAGCACGGACACCCTGATCATGACACTACACCCCAACACAACGATACTAATAATAATTTAAAAAATAAATAAATTAAACTTAATCATAAGTA